GCAGACGAATGCCTTTTCATCCTCAGTATCAAAATCAGTAGGGCGTCTACACAAGCACACCGTACAGTGGCGAGATTTCACAACATTCAGGTATGTGCAGTCCGGACAAGGCCACCGTTTTCTAGTTTCTTCGCCATCACAAACAGCACTGGAAGTACAAGGTGGTTCGGTAATAAAAACTGAATGTCGTGGAGTACGACACATCGTACATGCTTTTGCTGTTTGAAAATTTGCGTAGGTACACTGTGAGCAGGCCCATTTCTCAGTTACATCACTTGCCATTTTGACCTGCAAAAAATCTCAAGTACGTGACATGTAATTTTTTCTTTTTCCTCGTCACCAATCAATTTATAACTGCAATTTAATACAATTAACAGGCGTGATGACAGTAATGAAGTGTGCAAGAAATTTTCAGATGACCAGCAACGAAGTGCGCTTGAATGCATCAAATGTTATATGTTTAGCATCACAATTACAAAATTTAAATACGACATGCCTCAAAAATGACAAAAGCTCTGTTATATAACCATCTCTACTTTGTTAGCAATCACTAAATTCTGTCCAATCATTAATAAATATATTAAATATACAACATTTAAAAATTATTTCCTTTGATACAGTACCTAGTTTACTTTTTTTTGGACAGTAAGAGTACGAGTGACAGTAAGTTAATTTCCAGATTAGTAAACACCAGAAATCTGAAACACTATCATCGGAAGTCCTCCGTTCAGAAAATTCAGGAGAAACGCTACACCGCAAAACGCATGGCGCTTTCCAACAAATTGTACGATCAGTGTTAACATGAAAAAATATCCCTGATAAAAAACCGATATTCACGTTATACCGATGCTTCCGTAAGCTTCAACACAAATGAAGCCAATCAGAAAAGACTTCCAAAATGCCAGTAGAAAAACTCTTTATATAATAGAGTACGGATTCATATTATACTGACGAAATAACAAGACATTTATGCCTTAAATTGCAAGTAGCTCAACAGAGAGTTAATATTATTTGGACGATGAAATCTAAAAGATATAGTTAGTAGTTAAACCGAGACCTTACGTATATTTAAACTTTACCACATGAATGGATAGTGTGCATTGAATTTCGCATAGTCTTGAAGGCGTTCTAGGTACTATACGTACTATAAGTCAAATATATACTGTTCTAAATGTATTTACCCCACGTAAACCTCAAATGCATATTCAGTCTTCACTTTTCACCACTTATTTCGAGTAAATTTAATTCATGTAACTTCCGCGTACATTAATCACTTCAACTCAGAAATGCAATATCAGTAAAAAAATTGCCAACAGAATGAAATTTCGGTGTTTTCTTTGTGAATAAGCATAGGTGGTAATCGTATTGCTCAGCATGCGACCATAATGCATGTAAGTGAGCTTCACACTGCAGATGCATGACAGGCTTTTCACAACACATCCGCGACACCAACATCAAGAAATACGACCCGCACACACTGCAGTTCGCGTAAGCGCAAACTGGGCTGAAGATGACAAAACAGCTGGTAGGCACAGCCATAATCAAGGTTGCGAAGTGGGAATCGCCACGTCTGCAAAGACGTAAGAGTCAGTTTTCTTGAACATTTTTTTCCTCTTTACCGATCGATTTTATGACTCACTCCGTAGTATTACCAGCGCACATCAATTACGACTTTTAATAAAACTCTACTGCTGGATCTCTACCAGAAAATTCATCACATACTAAGGACACCTCGCCGATTTTACTACATCTCCGAATTCCAAAACCTTCCTTAACAGCCTATCTACAAAGCAGCAATCCGCAAATTGAACTGGTATTTCTATTGAGATTTAACGCGGCCCCACTGTAAAACGCCAGTGGGAGTAATTGGGGGTTAGCGATAAATTGCTTCTTGACTGAACATGAGTTGGAGGGATGAATGTCTGAAGTGAGGGTAGCCCGTACCTCCCCAAAAAGTTGTGATGGCCACTCTTCGACTGGTGTCATATACTTAATCTTCTTGCAACTGCTACCAGCTCCTTCTACATCACCAGAATCATCATTACCAGTTTGACCGATCATTGTGCCACGATCTTTAGAGCATCCAGCTTTTGGTTCAAATTCATCAGATCTTCGTTTAGACATCCTTGCTGAAATTTATCAGGAAAGGTGTCAATAACTGTTATCAACAGGAAAATTCTGCGTAAGGGATAAATATAAGATAAAGTGCTGAGACAAGACAAGAATGCAAAAACCTACCCATCGTTGAAATAAGACGAATAAATGACGAAATAAAGGCATAAGGAGAGCTCGAACAATGACTGTTATTGCTGAGCTAATAATTTTGACTCCCACCTTCGGCGCTATTCTGTCACAATAATTTCCATAAAATGATCGTTTCGAGCAAATAGTTGGCTGTAACAGATGAAGATAAATGCCTTCTGCTACGCTCTTAACCGGCTTGTTAATGCACATGAATTTCGTGCAGCTTTTCACGTGATACGTCATTTTCTGAGGAAGACCGAGCGTTAGCTAAAAGTCAAATAGTCGAAAGTATTCATTCTTGTCTTGGCCGTAATATTTTCCGTTCATTTTAACTTGAAAGTGCCAATCCATTAGTTGGGAAGTGATCTCAAAAGCGGTCAACATGAGCACTTCATTCTTCGTACGCAATAATATGTTTTTCTTATCAGCTATGTTGTTCCGCTATGAGATAATGAAGTTATCAAATAAACTGAAGGGACTCGACAAATAAAACATTAAATAAATCTGATGTGAAAGGTTTCCACACACTAACATGAGACATACTCAAAATGCTGGGGGAAGTTAACTGTTTACATGTGAGTAGTTTTATTCTTACTGTATTCGTTTACCATAGCAAATGAATTCATCGAAATTCTTTGGTCACCTAGAATCAGACATTCTAATCACGAGTCTGAAGTTAGCGAAATGCTTGATAATTCTTTTAGGCACTGAACAGCTACCAGGCTGAGCTACCAGTCTGCTTCGCTTTTCGCCTGTAAATGCTTCTTTGTCGTTTACCACTAGTGCTCATTATTTCTTATGACCTGGCCAAATAAACAAATCAGTCATGAAAAGCTAACCCGAATTCTTATATGGCTTATTGTGCGATCTTTTTGACCAATGCATCGAGCGCTGAAAACTGCCGAAAAAATTGTTTTAAATATATCTCATGAGAATTAGAGGGATAAAAATGAATAAATATTACGAAAGTGCAAATAAAATTCAGCCCATTGTCACATTAGTGAGTAGAAGCTGAATACCGCATGATCGACAGATTTTAATGCTCGTAAAGTCAGGACTTTGATATGTTGCGACGCGACCAATATTTTCATTGCGGCCTAGTGTTTACGGTGACCGATTAAGACTTGGTTCGTGACGGAGGATTTCGGGCGTTGTGCAAAATGTTGACGTTCCAGGGATTCTTTTTATTCGGTTAAGTTGCAGTGAACAAAGACGAGTAAGTCGGGAGTTGTGAAGTAAAATGTCTTATACGTCTTTACACTTCTGTGTGGGTATCACGCAATGACTTCCAAATGCATTAGTTCCTGGAATGGAATTTACATGTTGCGGTTTGATTATGCAATTCGACATTTTGTAGTTCTATTTTATATTTAGATCATTTCCAGATTAATTTTATATTTCAATGTTTGCTCCGTCACGGTCGAACCATGGGACACATGCGACTCATCTGCCCCATCCAAGCCAGTCGAGCGCCGCGGGGGAATTACAAGCTATTCTCGCTGTTTGGGAAGCTGAGAATGATAACGCCTCGTTCAGTGTCAAACCATCTCTTATAAGGTTCCCGTCGTTTTTTTTCCAAGGGTCCAGAGGACATGTATTTATTTCTTGAAGGAAACTTCAAAATACTCAAGTTATTCGGGTCAGCAGCGTTTTGCCTTCTTGAACTTGATCAATTTTATCCTTTAATTTTCACATTTTGAGCCACCAGAAAAACATTATAGACTTTCGGAACTAATAGAAGAAGCAACTGATGATTTTTTGAAGCAAGATCCTGACCCTCTAGATGATCGTCATCCGGCTAAAACATATCCTTCATGCATTCTGGGCCACCTGCTGAAAGTTATCAGTCGCTACGAAGAATTCATGAACAAGGTTGAAGAAAATTATATTATAAGGATGAACCCTATGAAAATTGAAACACTTTTGCTGAATTCGGTTGCAAGATTTTCTGCTCAAGTACTATTAGCTCCTTTTGCAGTTTTGTTGTTCCTTTTTCATGCTCTTATTTCCAGTTATGCAGAAATTCTTCTTCTAGCTTCTTGTGTCTTACTTGATGTCACGCGATGACATTGAATTGAATATTGCCTCCGCAAGGCTGTTGCTCAATCTTGTTCCCGGTTTAGATTCTTCTGTCTTATCCGTAAGTTTTAGTAATTGGGCATTTATCCATAACTTATTTTTATTAGCATTTCTACCTCCTTACAGAAACAATGTTAAGAATGCTTCGGATTTTGCAGGAATCCTAAAAAGCATTCTTAACTAAAGTTTTATGAGATTTCCGGATTTGTTTGTGAATGAAAATGTTGCAGGAACCAGAAGGTTTGATACCGCAACTTTACAGATGGGCAGAAAGTGATGCAACTAACTGTTATTTAAGGGCATATTCTTTTGGTTTGCTTGCAGCCGCCTTAGATGTAACAAGTGTTGCAAGTACTCTTAAAATAGAAAACTCTGCTCTCATTCCAATTGCACTGCGGCGCTTAAAGGATTTGTTTGTAAGTTATGTTATTCATTGATAGCAGTCCTACATCGTGACAAATTATGTTTGGTATAATTCAGATTCATCTGCTAAATTCATAGACTATTCTTTTTCAGCTTATTTGTTTTATTTGTTCGTTTTCTTTTTCTAGGAACGAATGGAAAAGGAGAAACGAGAAGCTGCGGAGGTATCAGAACCAGATAAGGAAAATAAAGAGGAAAATGTTGAAGATAGTGGTCCATTTGCTGGTATGTCGAGGGAAACATTCCATAGTGGTGAAAGGCTTTCATTGGCTGATGTTGGTTGTTCATGTTTTTAAAAGTACTGTATAGAAAATGGACCAAGGAATGAGTAAAGAGAAGTGAAGATATTAAGCGAAATATAGGGTTTATATGGGGAACTTAAATAATAAGAATGGAACGAAGTGTTACTAGGAATTAATTCCCAGTCGAACAGTAATTGATCATTGTGAAGGGAAGTAAAAATTAAATTGTTCGTTATAAAATGTCTTTAAGATATGTTAGTGCATGCCGAGCAGTTCTTTCATGTCAGTAGTTGTGTTTTCGTTGGGGGTGCACACTGAGAAATCTTAACAGGGAAAGGCAATATAATTTTAAAAAATTGTAATATTTTTAAAAAGCTTGGTTTATTGCAGATTTTGAAAGAACGCGAAACAGCGAAGTACTCTGGCGAGGAAGCATCAGGACCATCCGTTGCATTTGTTACGAGAAAACACAACGAGAAAACACATTTCACTGGATCTGTATACAGTGAGGAAAGAAAATCCATCTTAAGAATACGGTTTATTTCTGTGTTTTTCGAAGTCCTGTATAATATTTTTAAAAACTTGTAGGTTAAATCTTTCTTTCTCAATTTGCGTAGTTTTAGTGAGCCGATTTACGAATTTTCTGCATCCGAAAGCTTAGAGTTGACCGTGCCACCGAGGAAAAAAGTCAAACTAGATAAAGAACAACGTGTAAGTAGTTTTTACAAAGTTTTCACAAATTATTTTCCTTTACATATTTCTCATTTTCATTCAATTTAATTGTCCCTATGTTTGAACTTGATTTCTCTTTTTACTACTGATTCTTATAACTTACTGCTTCTTAGTATCAGTATAAATAATTAGTTTCGATTAGATGTAGTGTTAGGCTGATCTGTATATTTCTGGTATTTAAACGTACAAGTACTCTTTACAATATATGTACCGTTTATATGGTGCCGTAAGGCTCACCAAGTTAATATGATTTCTGATTTCTTTGTTTCTAGGCTCGTTGCTCAAGCACAGTGTCGTTGGGATCATTAATTGAAGGGAAAAGCAACAGTCAGTGGGCTGTAATGCAAAAGCGACGTCTCGGAGAATACCGAATCTTTCCTTTAACAACTGTTATGGAACAGCGTCTAATTATTCAGTATCTTACACCCGTCGGAGAATATCAGGATGTACTTTATTCACTTTTATCTGGAGATGATTTGTCCAGTATTTCAATTGATTTTTTGCTGGGTTTAAAAGATTTGTTGGTGTTATACTGTTATTCTTAATGTAACGTAGTAGACACTCTAGAATCTGGCATTTCTTGGTTTCAGTGACAGTGTAGTATTCATGTTAGAATGTCATGGACAACAGCACTTTATTTAAACATTTCAGCTCTTGAAAGAAACCTACGAGAATCGTTCATTGGATCTTGTTCTACGCTATCTGGAGGGTGCTCGAAATCACGACACCCGTCTCATATTTGATGTTTTGAAGGTTCCTTATATTTTAAGACGATGGAAATTATTGTTTTTAATAGATAATAATGTAGTAAACACTTTATATATAGTACAATAGCAACAGTAGTCAATCTTTCAAGTATTAACGTTGGGTTTCCAATCTTTTAGCTGAAAATTTTGTTTTCTAAAAAAACAGCTTCATGACAAACATAGCTCTTAATTTTCATCTATTTCCTTGAGTTTGTTTTTCAGTATCTTGCCGGCCTTTTGGTTCATCGTAGACTTGCGCTGGATTTTGTGGCTGCTGGCGGCGTAGATCTTTTAATTCGTATAGAACGCGATTCATTAGCATCAGTTGTTGTTGGAACATGTCTATATTATTTGGCTTATAATGCAGATGCAATGGAAGGTGTTTGCCTTTTGCCGGAACAAACTCTTAATGAACTCGTTCAGTGAGTTGTTTACTTATTTTGTTGTTACTTCATTCGGTTGGGAAACCATCATTAGGACGCTTTGATGTTCCTAATGTTTGTAATAATGTGGTCCCTGAATCCCTTGAGGATATTTCGTGAGTTACGGAGAAACCTTCCAAACATCTTTAAAAGATGATGTATCAAGAATCTTTAAAAGATGATGTATCAAGAATCTAACTTGGATGCGTACCAGATGAAAGGTTTTGAAATAGAGAACTTGATATATTTCACTGGGAGACACTAAAGCTTCCTCAAGAAGACGAATTAGATAATTGTTTCAAGCTTCTTCCTTCAGATTTGATACGTTTAGGATAATTTAGTGCCTGTGAAAATTGTTTCTCATGGGATTTCTTAGCTTTATTTCCAGCTACGCGCTGTGGCTTTTAGAGCATAGTTATGAAAGTGGTCGCGCTGGTTCGTCAATGTTTTTTACTCACGCATTCCAATTTCGACCTGTACTTGAACGATTCGATGATTATGATGGCCCTCGGCGCTTATTTAATTATGTAAGGTTTTTTAAAACAATTTTCATATGACCTGAAATAGTTTTTGGTTACAGATACTTGTAGTGGCAGCTTGTCAAAATATTCTGGAATGTGCTGTAGAAGCATTCATCCTGTTCATATTTTTATCTACTTTGTAAAAACAATGCATATTCGGTTCTTCCACTGAGCTTGCAAAAGTATCCAAATTCAAGTAGTATACATGCATTAATTTATTCGATAATAATTTATTTGACAATTGAATAGATCTGGACCTTAATTTTCCTATAATTTTTTTATTCCAGATTTCAACTTTAACCCTCTTACAAGAAGATTCAGATAATGTTCTTTCTGATGAACATCTCTATACTAGTATGCAAGCTATTCGAAATACCTGTATGGCTTTTAGAAGGTGTATATTTTCTCAATTATTATAGTCTTCAAAGATTTCCATGGTACTATTTAGTCAAAATGATCATAAATGAGTGCGTAGTATCTTTCTGTAATTCATATTATCGATTACCTGGTTCTCTGTATCCGCTGTTTACGCATTTTTTGTGATGTTTCAGTTATATGGCTGCTCATATCTTTGTTAAAGTGGAACATCTGAAACGAACACATGTATCTCGGTTACAATACCTTAGAGATATCGTTATTCCTTCCTGTGTCCATGGTTTACCGGCTAATAAGGTTAAATACTTTATATTTCTTTGGTTCATCAAATATTCTCTTTGTGGAACAAATCCTGCACTTATCAAGTGGAAGTGCTGATTCAAAAATCCCTTGTTTTTTTCGATTGCATTTTTCTTCTGTAAAAGTTTGGTTGCAGGGGATGCATCTCGATGACGAAAATTTGAAAAATTGCATTTGGATTCTGCTACATACTTTGGGTTTGCATTCATCTTGGCGCCCTGTTGATGAATTGAAGCGTTTGGGAGTTATTCGCACTATGTATTTCCTAGTTGGTACAGCTAATTCTTGGAATGGTGGTTCAAAAATTGAAATTCTTAAAATGTCTCTCGATGTAGGTTCTTTTTACGCTATCTACTTCAACTTTTCTCTGCACTAAATCGCTCTCGTTCAGTTCACTTTTTGGTTGGTAGGTTTTCTACTCCCATTTGATTCATATGATGTTAGTTTTAATTCGTGCATCTTTTCAAAGACTATTCGAAATGAGGAATTTTAGGGAGAAAATCTACCTTCGTTTTACGACACACACAAAACATTAAATTTCTGCTACAATAATTTACAATTGAACTGATACGAATTTTTCATTCAAGGTTTTGTGGATGTGTTCCGCTGTGCCTCGGATTCAGATGGATATTTGCGAGAGTACATTGAAGATACGGGAGCAGAATGTTGAATCTGTCGGGTGATCATATATTTTTTTTAACCAAGCATGCTCAATATTATGTTAGAAAGGAACTGCGAATGAGTTGTCGAGATTTTATGTGTGGTGAATTCGATTTTTTTGTTAATACCTTTACGAGCTTCGAATTTCAGAGCAATTTTGGAATTCTGCGAAGGTGAAATGATGGCAGACTCTGAAGTTCAGTTTGCTGCTTTAAGGGTGATAATAAATTGTGTATGTGCTCCACTAGAACGGGTAGGTTTGAATTCTTTTGAAACATAGTGTTCATGGTAATTTATTAGAATTTACTCGTCTCTTTTGAGGAATTTTTCTAACTTCTAAGAAGATATATCTGGAAGTACTCAAAATGCCATGAATGTTTTTTTGATGTTCAAGTATTCCAAATTAATTTTTTACTTTTTGGTGTATCTGCCATTCAATTAATTGTCAAGGAACGAAAAATTTTTAAACGGGAACAGTCATCTTTTTCAGCACAGTGGACGACTAGCTATATCGCCTTCAACTAGTGACACTTTAGTACATGTTTCTGATTCTCGAATAAGCTGCCGAAGCGTCGGAACACCTTATAAAATACGAAAACAGAAAAAAGCACAGATGGAGTTCTTCCTAGAAAAAGTGTGGAGTACCATTCGAAAAAATAATGGAATTATGGTGATTTTTAGTCTTAATATGACCTTTCACATTGGAAGGTAGACTCATTTTGCGTTGTGTCTCAAGTTTGAAGCTCATTTATGTAATGCCGGATGTGACGAAGGTGATATTTTGACTTCCGTTTTTGACTCAGCTCAGAGTAACAGGTTGTTTTACCGCAGCAGATGTATGGTTCTGAAGTATTTGTCGTATTTGTTGTAGCAGCGCGAGTTTCAGTTGTGCTAGTACATTTGAAGTATTATGTAGAGAATGTGTGCTCAGAACTACGGCTTTTGCGTGATGACATCTGGTTATGCCTTCTTGAATAATGGTTTCAGTTCCATAGTTTCGTAATCCCAATGGTTCTATTTTTCGTTTTTATAGATCTTGAAAAAACTGTTGTATACAGAAACGCCAATCACAGAAGCGGATGCCCTTCGCGGAATGGCATGTCAAGCTCTCAATGGGTTAGCACGTTCCGAAAGTGTTCGTCAAATCCTTGAAGTAATGCCGCTTATTGCAAACAGCGAGCTTTGTGGTACAATTTTAGCTGCACTTTTTTTCTTTCCAGTCCGAGCAGATTTTTTATGATAGAGTTCTTAATATGACGAATCATTTCAAGTTTTTTCTTTTAGTACCTTTCGTCCGAATTTTAGCTCTGATGCGTGAGCCCGTTCTACAGGAGCGACGTGCTGAACACGCCAGGTTCTGTGAGCAAGCTCATTTGCTGATTGAAAAAGTCACCAAAAAGCGAATTCATGATTTTCCGAAGGATCTAACGAAAGTATGTGTTCTATTGATCTCCTTTTTTTGAACACTACGGATAAACAAAATACAACTTATTATCCGCATGTGGGTAGTACTGTTATTGCTATAGACATGTTTTGTGAATATTACAGGAAAAGCTATGGAAATGGCATATCGTTGCTCATACCAAAGTTGTTTATAGTGATAAAGAACTATTGCAATTGATACATCAACATCTGATTAAGAAGGGTCTATTTAAAACAGCGGATAATTTAAAAGAAGAAGCCAGTTTACCTGATATACCTGCAAGTCGTGTCTCCACTCGTCTACCTTCTGTCGGTGCATTGGTAATTTTCCTTTGGACATTGAACTTTAATGATTCTTCGAGTGATCTATTGTAAGGGAATTTTTCAGCCAAAACGTTTTGAGAATACGTTTTCTGATATCGACAACGATATTATATCAGGAAAAACTTTAATATTGAGCACTTTCGGTGGCAGCAATCGACGTCGAAGAAGTGAACGGTTAACAGCACCTGTTATTACGTAAGATTTCAAGTCAAAATGTCTAGCACTAAAAGAATATCTTGTGACGTAGTTGCTTACAGTTGATAAAAAACCTTTTCCTAAAACTGTATGTTACTTACAAAATTTAAGTTGTAGGCAAGGATACAGGCGTTCTGTGTTGCGAGTTAGTACTTCGTCAGAAACTTTATATAACTAATTGATTAAGATTGATTAGGTGCGTAAAACTGGTCATTTTTATATTTTTCCAGCAAAGTAGCCTTGTATTCTTTGTCGGTTTTGCATGAATAACGTCTTACTAGCAAGCATTCGAATAATGAAAAGTGTTTATTAAATGATTGACTATGAAATTAGATTGTGGATTGATGTTCAATGAATACAGATATCTTGTTAAAGGGCAGAATATACATTAGTTAATGAACAGCGAGACCAGGCAGCTACCTTGCTCTCGACGCCCATATCAAAATCAACAAAGGTGTTGAGCATTGCTGGACGTGAGTTTTTTTTTTTTAGTGAGCAGAAGGAGGGGTTTGTTTTAGTAAGTAATGCGTAGTTATCATGCTTAAAGCTACCGTATAGAAATTATGAATGATGCTAGATACCGCGTATTTTACCAGTGGGAACTTTAGAAATAACAAATTTTTCATAATTTCAGAAGTTGACATTTCTTTTGCCTTACAGCTTCTACTGCTTGTCTTTTTCTGCCATATGTCTGTTTCCTTAGGTCGTCATTGTGATGGGAGTCCGCCAGGAACTTCTTTTCTAAGTTGCCATTCAACAGACCTTAGAAAACTGGAGGTTACCGGCAGCAGTGAAAGTGTCACAAATTCTCAGTTGCCATTGGCGATGCCAGTACCTCCGAAAGATCTTGACGAAATCGTTACAGATTTTTTCAGGTATTATTTGAATTAGTGTAGTCTCTAAATCCTGGAAGAATAGAATTGTGAAATAAATTTTAATGTTGAAATTATTTTTCAGAAAGCAGCATTCGACTTGTTGTAATCCAGTATCTATATGTCCACCCTTCTCGCTTTACTAGTATGTTGCATTGGATCTGACATATGTAGTTTTCCGGAATAGTTCAATAAGCTACAATTTTTGGCAAGCAATGACTTATTATTTTTAGTCAAAAAAATTCCATGAAAACACATCTATCTTTATTGCAGTCCGCATCACTGCCCGGAACCACAACGTAAACGCTTTGCGCCAAAAAATATTGCCAATCGATTTTTAAGCCGTCCGGTAAATTGTTTCATTGAAATAAGCATAAAATGAAACGAATTGTGCGAAGAAAATTTAGTTTAAATTCTAAAAACGTTTTTAATACATTCCGTAACATTTAACTCGTATAGAAATATGCTAAATGTTGCAGATTTTATTGTTTCAAAACCACGTTTGTTGGGTTTCATCAGTTCTGTCTGTGTAGTGAATTTTTAATCGATTAATTTGCAAAACAGATCCTGTTAACAATTCTTCATTTTAGTTGATTTCGGCTGCTTGGAATCGGGAAAGGTTCAGAGAGGATATTCATTTTGCTTTCAGTCGCTTTCGTCCAGTACGGTCATTTACGGAAAGCGAAGAGACATTTACTTGCTGTAGTTTTTCGGTAATTTTTCAGAATTACATGAAATTTAAAAGAAAATAGATTTCATTACCTTATTTTTCATCGCAAAGTAAAGAATTATATATTTTTTTGTGGCTGTCGACAGATTTTCTATCATTATTTTTCAGATTGATGATGAACACATACTATTAGGTTCTTATGCTGGCGCTTTGAATTGGTTTAATATACATACTGGTGCCGAGGAGTCAAATACCGAGTGCCATCACAGCGCAATTACTGGTATTGAACAGTCAAAAGTAAATCACTTTATTTCTTTTCAGTTTGCTTATACTTGAATATTTAAAATAAGCAATTTCTGTTTCTAATTTTCGACCGTTATTGCCGAAATCTTTGAGGATGGTTCACTTTTGCTTACTTCATCAGCTTTTGTGAAACCACTTTCTTCCCTCTGGCGTATTGGTGAAACCCAAGAACATATGATCAATTTTCCGGACGAATACTTTGTTGAATTCAATAAAACAGCTCAAGATCGTATCATCGGGACGCAGGGGAGTAAAGCAACGGTATTTTTTTAGTTTGAAACTCTTACCTTGCAAAGACTAGTTTTTTCATAGTACAAGGATTATAATAAATGTTGGATTAATTGTAATCCTTCCATATTATATAACTAAAACTCCAGATTTATGATACGGAAACTGGCCGAGCCGTGGTTCGTCTTTTTGATGATACTTTGGCAAATAATTATACTCGTAACAAGTTGGTTCATTATTTATTCGAAAATAATATTGCATATTTATTCACGAATATTTTGACTAGAGCCTTCTTATACCATTCTGACCTAAAATGGTTCCTAGCTACTTTGCAACTGCGTGAATATTGACTGAACATAGTAATTTTCACATACATTTAAGTAGGTCAGCCAACGTTTAATGCATATTATGTATTTGATAGATCGTATTTTCTTGGCTTCAACTCTTCCACTACTGTCATTTCCATGGCACGATGTGGCATTTAAATTGAATTTTTGAGACTGAAGTCTGTATGAAATTCGTCCTCAGTATAGATCACCAGTACGACATTAAAAGGTTTTTCTGTGCAATTATACGGTATATTTCAGTATTGTAAAATAGTTTATTATTAAATTCAGGGCAGCATTTGACCCGAGAGATGAATTAATACTGAATGATGGTATATTATGGGATCCGAGATTGGGGATGAAAGTTGTACACAAATTCGACAAAATGAATGCTGTGAATTGTGGTATGTTCCATCCACGTGGAAATGAAGTTATCATAAATTCTGAAGTGGTTCGTTTGCTGTTCACTTTTTTCTTTTTTGTTTTAGAACTGTTAATACTTATTTAATAATATGAAGTTTCGGCTTGTTATTATTTATCCTGTTTGCATCAATTCCTTATATTTAAATTTGATAAAACGGACGGTTTTCTTGGACTTGCAATCTTGTCTTAATTTTCGAACCACTTAAACTATAACATTACAACATTGATTCTCCTTTGTCAGGTATTATGCGGCAGTGTTTTGCCAGCAGACTTTTTCAAACTCTTCGATGTACAATGGTTTTGTTCTTATTTTGATTGTGTTATTTTAAATTCGAAAAGCTATACATATTGGTGGAATGAAATCCAAGATGAGAAACTTTTTTAGTTCACATAAATTAAAATGGCACTAATTTAATGATGAAGTTTCCAGTGGGATGTACGTAATTTCAAACTGCTGCATAGTATCAGTGCACTCGATCAATGTAAAATTGTATTTAGCGGTGGCACAGATGCTATTTACGGATGTATGTTCTTTTCCCCTACTAAAAATTCAAGTAATTTTGGCCTTAATAAAGATGATCACGAGTGAATTTTTATGTATTAATGTTATCTGGCCTAATCTGGCAGATGTCATTGCAACTTTTAGAATAATTATGAATTTTTCCAGCAGCGTATTTGGATGTAGAAGAAATAGATGAGCGCTTTCGTCAAACATTTGCTTGTTCGTTCCGGACTTTCGATTCCACAACTTACAAGGTATAATTTAGAAATACAAATAATAGTGACCGTATGACGTATGCTGACTATATTTCCAATATCTCTTACTCGTATATTGAAGAGAAGTGATATAGAGCAGATTTCTCTGTCTTTTCCTCATTATTTGTTTTATATTTATATCAAGTGGTTTCATCTTTCGGAACATTATTGGATATTTTTTTTACAGGTAATTACAACAGTGGATGCAAAACGAGCTTTATTCGATTTTTGTGCTGATCATAATGATCAGTATATGGCTTTGATTGAAGCTCATGGGAATGCAGATGATTTGTTAGAGCTGCGAGAAAATGTCTGCCGTCTCTACGAGGTTGGGAAACGTCGTGAAGCGGACGAGTGTGATGATGAACAAGTATATATCTTTTATACTTTGAAAGAAAAATAATATGAATTCGTTTATAAGTCTGTACTTTTCAATCATCGTAGTTCCCATGAACACGTTCAATTGAAATTAGCATCTGCTATGAAGTTTGTATAGGACTTAGTGGGTGGTCAGCTAACAAATATCCAAATCTTTGTTAAAAGCTTAGTGATGTTGGAAAGAGTTGCTTGAAGGAAGAAACAGGTGACGATAATGAAGATGATGATATGGGCTCATCGAGTGAAATGGATACATCGCTTGGAGATACAACTGCTACGGATTCTTCATCAGAAGAGAATTCTGAAGAAAGTGACGAATCCTTATATGAATCGACACATAGTCTTAATGGTAGCTTGAATGATGAGGATGAACAGGTTTTTCCTTTGCATGAAGTTTAGATAATTAATTGGCAACTGCAGTGATAATATGGTTTTACATCCTATACGACAATTAGTATGCTATATGCTAAATGTTTCTCAATTTCAAGATGCCTTGATGGTATTCGTGTGGCTCAAAGGTGAAGTTCCAACTAATAAAGGGACTGCCAGCAGTCTAAAAATTAACCAATTTATTTTTCGCATGAATTTGGAGCGAAAGTTCAGTAGGAATCGCGAAACCTTTAAATTTATTTTTAGTGGGTGGATGATGATGATCACGCTTCGGAAAATGGCGAAAGTTCAGAACGAAGCAATGGCGTTCTACTGAGGATTGGTGATCGTGAGGCTCTAAACATTGTGTTTGATCCAGGCACGAACCGGCGTGATATTCGCTTATGTATGTTTCCACTGTATAATTTGAAAAGATTGAAGTGACTGTGGAGATTCGATTTCCAGTCAGCTGAATTTCTATATATGAATTAAAGGAAGTTTTGGTGCTTCGTCTATAATCTGATTTTGTCAGAGAAAATCTCGGATGAATTTATTTTTTGAATCTAGCTTTGTAAAGCTCGAAATGTCTGTAATGAGGTCGAGTGTTTTTTAAGTGCAAGCCCTGGCAGTGGATTCGGACAGCGATACAGAAGTGGATGTAAGCTACAATCCTGACGAAGATGCAGCAAATGCTGATATGCATCCAGGTTCAAGTTCAATAGTTCTGAATCCAGTACTCCGAAGGCAGCGAAGGGCTGAGCGGGAATAACAAATAGTTCGTCATTTGTGGTAATTGAAGGGTTTTCTTTGTCTGTGTTATTAAATACTTGTGTAATGTTAACCATTGTTTTTGATCGTTATGCACATCTGAGGCTTTGTTTATAAGCTAAACGTTACACTTGAGTTTTGAAATAGCTCTTTTGAAAACAAGTATCGGCTTTGGTTATATCCATGCATTATGTTTTGTTTGGCTGCATGTCTGTTCTTCAATCCACTATGATAGCTTTCCGGACGAGACTACCTCTAGTCTTCGGTTTTTATATTACATATTCATTTGCTAGCGCTATATCACAAATGCAAATGGAAGACTCTCATATAATTCACTCTGGATTGTTAATTTCAACCCCACTGTACCCACATTTTGCTCTCATTTAATGGATTCTCTTTATTAGTGGTTGGTTGTAAGTATGAGGAATCTTCGAGTCAGCTCGCAATTCCAAAGCACACCTCTCCTCCCGACTTAACTTGCCTTTTCGGACAGTAGACACAGGTGCATTATACTTATGCTTCCAATCGTCATCTATTGAAAATGCATCGAACCCACGCCGGCATATGTCGGCAGTTTCACACAACAGTTTTTTAACCTTGTGCGGTCATGTACTTGTCTTTTGATCGATTAAATCTGGTAAAAATTTTGAATATTATATTTTACGTAAAGGCACGCTAAAAACAGTAGTGAAGTAATTATTTATTTAGTACGAAATCAGAAGCAGAGGAGAATCCTGACAACTGCCATCGAGTTAGGCACTTTTTTGAACTTGATCAGATTGAAGGGACTAATCACAGATATGACTTTCATGAGAACGCGTTCAAGAAGGAATTGAGCACCAGAAACTCTGGGAGATGTAAAAGACTTAGGGAGATTCCCAACAGCATTCCCCACAATAGCGTTGCATCTACAGCATACCGGAAGTGAAACTAATTTAGGGTGGCTTCTAAGACTGGTTGCAGCTGCTCGACTTAGTGAAATTTGGAAACAGTAAGATCGGAGTAAGAGGCAATATACCTTCGCACCTCTCCACCTAAGCCAACTGAATTATGAACAGTCGTGCACGCACCAGCGCAGCTTGGTGTTTTGTTTGGCGGTGAGTTAAACACAGTGCGGATCACTCAATGGTACAAAGAAATCAAAAAGCAAAAAATAATCCCAATATTGCAAAAGTTTTCTAAATCCTACTACGTATTCATATCTTGTGCCAAATGATTCTTAGCGCCATCGAAAAGAGCCATCAAGGAAAAGGCATCCGCTGTTAATTCACATATCTGTTGATCTCCCCAGCTATGTGTCGGAAGATTTTGTAAGAGCAACATTATTCCCTGCAATTAGGAATTGAATTCATTCGTGAATTTATTGATTTCAAGATGCACAAAACTTTTTAGGGACCTGAAAATCCTTCTCCGCTTGCAGCTGCTTGGACCACATTCGAAGAAAAGCTGCACATACATACCCATGAAACTGCGAAAAACCGTCTCTTTCACTCTAAAACAATCTGAACATCGTAAGTAAAAATTTCCAGACTCCAACTCCGGCAAGCCAGACCAAAAAAAAGGATTTTACCACTGAAAATCACACCTTCCACTTACTAGTGAGTCTTTTCCAGGAATCCTAGTCAAGATTGTGTAGTAACATATTGCCATAATTAATAAAATTAACCAGAGAGTCAATCACAACAGTCAACCCACCAAGAAAGTATCCCAGAGGCGAATTGTGGCTCGCAAAGGGATTTCTCTCATAAGAACATTATTCATCCAACGGAACGCAAACTGTAAGTACTCAACACCATGCGCTTCCAGATGACGATGAAGCTGCTCTAAAAGTAAAGGAATATCATATTTCACTCGAAAATATCGTCCTTCAAATCTGAATGACTAGGATTTCAAACAGATTAACTTCACCACAGTTTCAGAAAATGAACACGGCCTAAGTAAACTTACTGTCAACACGACTCATCAGATGTCGTAACTGCGATACTTTACGCTGAATACCTGGCTGTGCAAATGTATAGTTATCCTGAATTGTATCCAACAACGCTGTGACGCACCAAAAACTATCTGCTTCAACGATTTCAATTTGCTCTCGTGGTAATTGACTTACATCATATGTGCCAACTTCTGTATCTAAAATTATTCTTCATTCGAAGTATTTACCTTTAACTATTTAGTTCATAGGAAATTCCATTTGAGTAACACTGAAACTTTTCAGTTAGTAAATTAAAGAATAAATTAACCATCAGATATGAATTCTGAGAGGAACACAACAAAGAAGGGTGTGACAAGATCGTTGATACCCTGCACATAACCACTTGCTGGGTGACGAATTGCCCAGATATATAAAATATGTTCAAAAAATCTGCAAAAATAAAGATGATAAGTTCGCGGAAAAGTTAGGGAAAACGTATTCAAGATTGAGAATAACCATAGCATACCTCCTGCACTACTTTTTGCTGGAACAGCGGTATCAAGGGACACATACGTGGGATATCAATGTGTATCTGTAAATGAATTCATTTTACATTCTATTTTTACTAATATTTTTAATGGAAATGCAGAAAACAAAGTACCAGTTTAATCCACAAACCTGTCTAAAGGTATCCTGATGCTGTTCATCGTATCGAGTATGGAAATATTGCTCCACATAACGCCAATACTCTTCCCTTTTCCTCGCAAGTGTTACTTCACGACGCTCAAAATTTGTTGGAAGATAACCCTAATTTACAGAAAAAGCATTAAGCAGAACAAAAAAAACTCAATACTAAAATATACTGACAGCTCTGCTCTTCCTCTGCTCTTCGTAATATACATAACAGTAACATCAAAAGTCTTGAATGAAACTACGAAGACATAAAAATAAACAATTCGATAAAAAGAAAAATAGGAAACTGAAGTACAATAGTGAGTGCCAATTTACCAGTAATATTCTCCAAATCGTTGGTCGTAATTTATGAGGTATACCCATCCAACAGTCCTTACGCAATTGCTCCAAATCAATATCTACAGTCTTCAAAGATTGTGTAACATTTTTCGGACTTGATGACGGACCTGTATGAACACCGAGCTGGGCGCGTAACCGATCAAAGCGAGCATGGTCACGCTGAAGAGCTGTAAGAAAGCCATAAATTTTGGAAAGAAACAACTGTTTTGTTATATTTCAGACGTACCTACCGTTACAACAGAATCTGAACTGCTGAAACAATAACTATAGGTGGAAAAACATGCCATTTTAATTCCAGAATTATGCACAAAAATTACAAGAATGGTAACCTAAAGTATGCCCTTCTTGAGCTGTCGATGAATCGTGTGCCATCATCGGATCAACTAGTGCTGAACTTGATAGTACTTTTCCGTATTCAACTGATATCTGCAGTTTCTAAGAAATAAAATGCAAAGTTTGATTCTAGTTGTTCTTATCTTAGTCCAGTCTAAGCTCAAGTCTACTTTGATACCATTAAGTACGTTTCTGTGCCTCAGGCAGCGATTATTGATAACTAAATAAAGTCTATTCCCCTTATCTAGTTTCTTTTGCATGAATTTTCTGTCACAGTTCTCAAGGAATCTCATGTTCGACTTCTTAAAAACAGCCCGAATTTTAAAACGCAAAAGTACTCACTTCTGGTAGTCTCGGATATAAATTTATAGACAGATGCACTCCACTACTTCCTGTTGGCACTGCTGTCCCCGGTATTGGTTCTAGAATTTGAAGGACATGTATTATGAGCTTCCCGATATAACGAATAAGGTAGAATAAAGGAAACCTCATTTAAAAAAATTAAAACAATTCATTCACCCTTCTGGATAGCTAAACGCTGCATAGCCTGTATTTTGCTGTTTCTTGAAGGAACTGGATTAACCGGTGGCATTATCAAGTCACGTGCTGCCAGGCTAGCATGTCGTTCGAGGACTTTTGCAGCACTCGTGCAAGCAGCTCGTTCATCCAGTGTTACGGACACATCCCAAGCATCTGATACGCTAAAAAAGTTGGTCATCTCACTCAGTTGGTATTTATTCGCTGAAATCTAGGAAAGACACTTACTTTTTTACATGTTTACTAAAGGATTGGTCTCTAGTTACAGAAAGTAATATGATACTAAAACCAATGTTAAACTAAAATCAAGGAATCATGTTGCAATAAATTAAGCTGAATAACACTGTAATAGAAGTTCATAACAAGAACTGATGGAGAAGACTTTCTTACTTTAAGCTTCGTTTCACGAATGACCCTGACCTCCCTTATATTAAAAGCTTTTATATTATATTTTTTCTACAAACTAAAACTGATCGGTTGCCCAGTTTACCACCAGGACAGTTCGTTAATTTAATTTAAAGCATCCACAGAGGATGATGCAACAAAATCTCGAGCGCAAGTGTGCATTTAAAAAAGTAGTACACGATATCGCTGCGAAAACAAGATTGTTGGCTAGGTGGTTCAAATCATACAGCCATGACTGACCAATATACAAAGTATCCTTCTAAACTATTTAAAATATCTACATACTTCATTATATGTTAACAATGCAAAGTCACTGCTAATCTAGCAATGCACTTACGCCTTCGAGTGGGACTTCTTATAGGAATTCATTAATTAAATTCATTAAACAGTCGATCAGAAACCTTTAAAAAACAACCTGTCCACATAATTTTGGAACTTTGCTCCAGAATTTGAGTGCTGACTATCACTACTGCCAATTCGGCCCGCATTATTTGCAAAATCATCGTATTCCGTTAACGGTGGGTACTGAGCACCGTAAACAGGTCTAACACTGTAATAAATAAATTTGACAATTGCTGGTGAAGTATGAAAATCAGTTACATAGTTATGGTATTGTGAAGAAGAGAAAGTGAGAAAGTGATCAAACCTTCCAGGTATTGCCGACTGTTGAATCCAATTGTGGCTCATTGTTCTGCGGCTTAGTTCGCTTCCATCTCATAAAATTAAGTATTCCCTTGCTAGCACCACAGCAACATTTAAAAACTGACGTCCTCAAATAAGATTGTCCTGAAATAAGGCAACAAAGTAAGGTAAAACACTTCACAAGCACAACCAACAACTCATTATTGCCGCCGCCCCTATCAGCTAGCGTATCCAACTGAACAGCACCGCGGCCCGTTGAATTGGGGTGCCTTTTGAACTTCTCCTCATTCCAGAGCGGTATCATGAGAAATGGACTTGCGGGAAAATAGTTACTTATTGTTGGCATACATCGGCTCTTCTTTTCTTTGCTTATAGCAGGGAAACAAATGCAAAGGCAATTTGTAGGTAACAGTTTTTGTACGGCGTATAGAATCAGACTCGGATTCGTGATAAAATCGATTTCAGCCAGTCTTTGACCGATTCGTTCATAGAATTACGGATCTGGCGGAAATGACTGCTTAAGAGGACTTGTGAAAGGGTTGTTGTCTGTCGCGAATTTTTAC